ATACCATTTTATTTCTATTTTCTTGTACAAAATCAAAGATAACGATTAAATAGTGTTTATAATTGTATAAGGGAAAACCCAAGTAGGTACGTTTATTAATTTCAATATCATTTTTGTAGTAACGAACTGCTTGTTTCGTCAGAGTACTATTGATTGTCTAATTGTATTAAAAATTACAACTATATCTTCTAAATTCCACATGAAGACTAGTCGTAGGGATCATATGGAAACTCAACTTATAAAATAAAAGTTGGCAATGTCATAACATTTTAACGAGCTGTGGGAATGTTCAAAGTGTTTACCGCAAGGACGTTAGGACGCAGTAGGTTTCAGTTTTGGCGAAATTCATTATTAATTTTAGTTTTTGAGACAGTTCTGTGTTGACTTTGGACACGCGTGCGTGAGCGACAGTTCAATCGTTTTTTTTATTAAATTCTTATTGTTATTACTTGGTATTACTTGTTATTACGTGTTGGTATTATTCTTGTTGTTATGTTTTGTGTTTCTTTTTTATTTTAATAATGCTAATGATCACGACCGCCTACGATTTTTCTGCCGTTGGTTAGTAGACAAGCAACAACGTGTGCCCGGTTCCATTGAGCACCTTATCTGGACGGACGAGTCGACATTTACCAGAAACGGCCTGTGGAACCGAAAAAATACACACGTGTATTCAGAGGTTAACCCGCACGCTGTTCGACAAACCGGGCACCAAACCCGATGGTCGGTTAACGTATGGGCAGGTTTATTTAAGGATCGCATACTGGGACCAGTGTTTCTGCCACAGCGTCTAACGGACAGCGATACCTAAACTTTATAAATGAACAGTTGGTTGACATTTTAGACGACCCATCTTTGGCTGAATATCGCCGCACATGGTTCCAGCATGATGGGGCATCTCCACATGTCGTGAGGTTCGTCCGTGAGCGCGGCGCCGAATTATTTGATGATCGTTGGATTGGCTGACTAAGACCACACGCTTGGCCACCTCGCTCAACAGATCTGAACCCGTTAGAATTCTTTGTGGGAATATGTGAAAGAAAGGGTTTTTAATCGTGAGTGTGATAGTGCTGACGAAATGCGCCAAAGGATGGTGGATGTTTTCGACAAACTATGTACGGACTGTGTCGAAGACCACACGACGATGCCCCGCCTGCATGAGGAGACGCATATCGAGCCCAAATCTGCCTCGAAATTAATGAAGCACAATTTGAGCCGTATCTCATAAGGCCACGGCGAATTTAGAGCGGTAAGCTGTTTCATACTTATTTTTTTAAATAAATTAGTACTGAACTGATCTTAATAGGTACATAACTGAATACATCAGAATAATAAACATACCTAAACGACGGATAAAAAAGCAAGACTCAATCGTTGTTAAAATTTCATTTTTTCACTAGCGGGGAATCGAACAAGGTATTTGGTTTATTTAACCTGTGAATTCGAATTAAAGTGACTAGGTGGAGACTAGCACAGTGGCAAAATAGTAGATTAAGTAGATAAGTTAGATATTTAGACAAGTGTTGTAAAGAATTAGGTATTGCAGTATTGCCGTATTTGCACTATTGTGGATTCGGCGTCAATTCCGCGCGACAATGGGGTCAGTAACCCTATTGTTATTTAAATTTCACTGCTGATTTTATGTTTAAGTATTTTTGTATAGAATTATCGTTTCATTTAGCTGTACTAATTTCATTGTTAATGAAATTAGTGCAGCTAAATGAAGTTTATTAATTATTTTAGAGCACCCAAATGACCAAAGAGCTTGGTGCACCTTTGGCTGCTTTTAAGACTGTTGGAAAACTTCTTGCTTCAATGTCATTTCGTGTTACAATGCGAATGTCAATCTTCACTCTGGGTCTAAGACAGGCTAAGAATGATTCTAATAAGTCCACGTCTGCTGTTCGTTTGAGAACAGCACCAACTCCGTCTGGCACCCTTTTGCCATGTCCAGCTCCTAAGTAGTTCCAGGTATTTAATTAGGTATAGGGCTTGGAGCTGGTCGAGTAAGAGGATCTTGTTCAACTGGAAGTACTTCAGTGTCACTATTTGGTGGACAATTATCTAGTAACAACTGTTGAATACCTTTCTCTTTCTTTTTTCTTTCATAATGACGTTTTGAATTAACTCTCCACTTCTTCCTCTGAACTCTCAATTGTCTAGGTGTCATATCTCTTGCACTACTTTTTTTTCTGTTCTTTTCTGTTAAGGTATCTTGTTCTTTCTTTTGCCTTCAGATCTGCATACTTTTCAGGATCTTCCTAAATTATTGCATACTTTATTTGTTTTTGTGAACGATCGCGCTCTCTTTTTTGCTCTAATGTTTGTTAGGCTTCCATTGGCATTATTAATTCTTAGTAATCTGTAACAACACATAATATAATGTCATAATATCAAGCTCATCCTTAACTTACATTTTATAAACGTATACTTTTTATAAACAAACTTAAAGTTACAGCAAGAAACAAAATAAAAACTATTAATTCCTTATTTTATTATGCATTACAGTATTATCATCACTGTATTGTAGTAGTATTATTGTGGAAAGAAAATCTCAACCACGGGTGGGATTAGAACCCGCGACGACACGGCTTGCAAAGTGAAAATGCCCAGTAAAAAATAATAATAAAGTGACATAAATAAAAATATTCTAATTGCCATCGTTTTGACCTCACTATCATCGATAAAAAATGACGGTAAACGAAGGTAGTGAGGAAGAAGGTAATGAGGTTTTAATCTTTATCCAATTTTTTTGTTAAAATATTAATATTACGGATCCCATGCTTATTCTAATTTACGGAGGTAATCAATAGAATAGATAATTAATTACATATTAAACAAAATCATTAATACTCACTTAATAATAATGACGATAGATAATAAAGATGTATGAATTTGCCTGGTGGCTTCGGACAATGATGTTTTTGATGGTGAGGGACGGCCGTAGTATGTGGGTGATACGTTAGCAGCATTATTTATTCGCCTAATAAATATCCCGTCTATTTCATACATTATTTGTAGACATTCTGTATCGGAAAATTTACGGAGTTTATTGGCTATAATCTTGCAGTAACGATCATAATCATCTTCTGTAACTTGCTTTTTATTCAGAACTGTATTAAGTGTAGACACAGCATCCCTCATTATCTTCTCAGCTTCTTCTAGTTTGGACCTGTTTGGACTCAGGTTCATAATGGTGAACCCAAATTTAGTCACCAGTAACAATTCGAGCCAACACTCCATCTTTGTCTTCCATACAGAGATCCTAAAATGCACTGGAACACTCCACGTGTTGTTGCTTTTGAGGCGGCGTGAGCATTCTAGGCACCCATCTTGCGCTGACTTTAGTCATGCCAAGATGGTCATGAAGAATTTTCAAAATGGTTGTGTTTGATACTCCAACCATTTCTGCGAGCTGTTTTTTCTTTAGGCGGGCATCTTCTAATATTAATTATTTGACTTTTTGAATAAGTTCCGAAGTGGTCTCCACGATCAGCCTTCCTGGTCATAGGTCGTTTCGTCGATCGTGGTCGTCAACTCTCTGCCTTGTTTAAAAAGGGTATGCCACTTATAAACCATAGTTTTACTTCGACAAGAGTCTCCGTAAACGGGTGACATCTCTTCCAGTATAGTCTCAACTGATTTTCCGCGCTTGGTAGGGAACTATAACGCCACGGAACTCGATTTTCTCCACATTTCACAATGTCTTCCCGATTGACTTGTTTGCTTGACGATAACTCAAAGACTAATGATCTAATTACAATAAAACCCGGTATTTATACTAATAATGAGTTCCTCAATTAGCACTTAATTCATCGACGTCCCTACTTATTACCTACCTACCCATTCCGCGAACTTATAAACGCACCCTCGTATGCAACCTCCGAGGAGAAGAATCTTCTCAGAAGACATATTACGAATGAAGTACTGTTAATCAATGTTAGCCTAAAAGAATTTAATTTACACCCTTTATAAGTCCCACTGCTGGGCAGAGGTCTATTTTCATTTGTGAGAGGTTTAATGTTAAGTTACATTAAATTTATGATTTTATATATATTAAAAATAAAATGATACAGGTAACGTTATTTTAATAAGGATTTATTAAAAAAACTATCATACAAAGTTTACCAATTTATTTAATGAAGAAATATATTAATTAATCTATCATCATTAGTTTGTATCTGTTCTTAAACTTATTAATTAAATTTTTTATATAACAGTGAAAACTATATTTAAAGTAAACCAAAAATTAGTTTCTTTTACAACAGAGAAAGAGGTATGCAAGGATCGTGACACTTGGCGATCTGTTCTCTCTGGCTACGCCGTCAGGGATTGTGCGTGAAGATAAGTAAGTAAGTAAGTAAGTTTTACAACAGAAATTAAAACAAACAAATTAATTTAAAATAACATGGAAACATTGATAAAATTTGATGAGCCTTATTTATTTTAAATTACAGTAATGCTATTGTTGTTATATTGTTTGGAAACATTAAAACTGCAATATTAATAACTGCTGATAACCCTCAATTGTCCTGGCTATTTGGTACATTGCATTTGCTTCTTACTTTCTTTTCAGATTTTCCATATCTTGATCATTTTTTGTTGGTACAGTGTTGTTGATTCGGAAATGTGGTATGAAATTAACACGTTGGTGGACAGTACAAGTTAAGAATTACTTCCCAAATGACAGTACTTATTCTCATACATTGCCTATCGGCGTAGTGTCAATGCGGTTGTATGTAAAATGTTGTTGAGTGACAGAACGCCTATAGGCGCGTACGTCTATGCGCGTATTGTCAATGTGGTTGTTCGTAAAATGTTGTTGAGTGACGGTACGCCTAAAGGCGCTTACATCTATGGGCGTACTCTCATTTTCTATCTAAAGAAAACTACGCATAGGGACTATACGCCTATAACCGTAAATCATTTAAGAAGCAATCTAATGACCAAATCTGGCCGTAATATTAATAATATTTTCTTATAAGTTAAAACAATATAATTTAATCATCATTAGGATTTAGTAAACTTGCATGATATGGTTCAAAGCAAGATGGACAAAGAGGAGGTTTAACAGAATAGCCTTTGCAACGGTAACTCGTTTCCTTTCGTATCTTTTTTTGTGTACAAAATTTACATTTCAAAAATGCTTTTTTTTTTGTAGTTCCAGGTCGTGCAGGCATTTGTTCTGGCCAGTGACCTTGCATTACAAGCCCATCATTTTTGAGTATGTTAATAGTGTTAATAGTCTTCACGTGGTAGAGCCATGCTGCGGCTATATTAGTAGTATAGTTGTAGCACGAATGGGTCGGCTCGACCGGGGAAGGACCACGCTCTCACAGAAAACCAGCGTAAAATAGCAGCTTAACGCTGCTGTGTTTCGTATGGTGAGTGTAGAGAACCGGAGACCCTTATTACTGGCAAAGAGGCACTCCCATCTTAGTCCTCACGGGTGGCAACGCATCTGCATCTAGAGTCTTTATTGATGATAGATGTAGATGTCTATGGGTCACAGTAGCCACTTACCATCAGGTGGACTGTGTGCTCGTTTGTCACCCTATCCTATAAAAAAAATGTCGTCGTGGGTTGGAATCGCCTGTTATTGTGAATAATGGATGTGTTTATCAAGTCGCTACCCTTCGAATTTTTGTCCCGTCCAATCATTTCCTGTATCAGTTCTTGTCGGTAGTTTATGTACGAGTACAAACAAGAATTTTTTTTATATTTTCTATGAAGAAAAAAGGCGTTCCACACTGCAATGTCCATCATGTGAAATATTACTTTCTTGTACTATCTGATGGTTTTTCGGGGACAAGAATAGTATGACACCATCTGATTACATGATCAATGCCAGACATGTTTCTGTTATATATATCAACTTCAGCAGGCTTTAAACGGGACTTGCCAAATCAGTTTGAAACTTCTATGATCGAGGGATGAACTTTAGTGGTATCCATCAGGACATGGCGTTTATCTTTCCAATGCGAGCCATACATGCTCGCCTTTTTTCAATTCTTTTGTCGTAATAAGTTTAGGTTTATCTTTACGACTCTTACGTAAGGTGCCGGTGCTATGAGTCTTCATATCAAGCAATTTCTGTGACAATTTTGCAGAGTTATAATAGTTGTCCATGAACAAATTATGACCACAGAGCAAATATGGCCGCATCAACCTTAACATCAGTTTTTCTGTCTTAGACTCATCCCCATCCATATTCTGATTTGTTTCTTCCTTACCAGAGTACATCAATATTTTGAATACATAGCCATCAAATATAGTAAGTTCATAGAACTTAATTCCGTATCGGGCTTTTTTTGACTTTATATATTGTCAAAATGTAGCCGACCCCGAAATAGAAGTGGAGACTCATCTAATGACAAATCCTCGCCTGCACTATATATTTTTCTGAAGTTCATAGTCAACATATCTATGAATTTTATAATCTTCTGTTGTCATTTAGCCTCCAATTCCGATGCACATAGACAGCGTAATAATTGTTTATGCCTGCGCCCTGACATAGTATAGGTAAATATCGTACGATAATACATTGCTTTGGTTAAAAGTAAAAAGGTTCTTTTGTCTAGGACATTTTATATGACCTTTCAGAAGACTAAGTCCGAGAAATTTCAGCATTTCTTCATAATTGCTTTCACGAATTGAATTGCTTTGGTTGAATATCTTGTATGTGGTTGTTAGTTTGGCACAAACAGTTACCATAATTATTAGTACACATTACCAGATATTCAACGAAATTCCGTGGAAAAACTATGTGAAAAATGTCCAAAACATTTTATGTTATCAATGTTTACTTTATTACCAGAAGCAGCGTTATCATAATTAAAATCGGGTATATCAGTCACCGTGTCAGACCAACCTTCTTCTACTAAAGGTATCTCAGCGGATGTCCTGGGAGCATGAATGATTGGGCAAGTAGGCTGATCAGAAATATCTGGTGAATTGAGGCGTTCATCTTGATTTACAAGCAGATCGTTTGACGATAAATAAATGCCAGATGACGTAGCTTCCGAAACATGAAGGTTTTGGTTAACTGAAATATTCTCATTCCGTCGTTCGTCCTCGGAAGGGCAAAATGTTTTATCACTATCATCCGAATCACAAGGCGAAGAAGACTCACCAGATAAATTACTAGCGTGTTTTCGTGGGAGGCGTCCAGCAGCATCGTTAGAACTCAACGGATCGTCGCTCAAGGATTCCCCATCATCAGCATATGGATCTTCATTAGATTCCGGAGTTTCAACGTCATTGAACAATTCTAACAATCGTTTTTGTTCCTTTTCGTACGAATCTCCAGGCGCCATCTGTAAATAAATTCTGTAAGTTACTAGAATTAAATTTGAATATTTCGATAAATAAAATTACAAAAATATTTGATAACTTACCACTGGAGCACGTCATCTGGACGGACGAGTTGAAATTTACTAGAAACGGCCTGTGGAACCGAGGAAATACACACGTGTTTCCTCGGTTCCACAGGCCGAATTTCGGGAGCGTTTCAAAAATACCCTATTTTGGCGAAATTTCCTGATATAATATTTTCTGTCTCACTATTCTCTGTATATGATTATACAATTTTTATTAAAGATTTCAAATTACTAATAGTTTTGTTAAGGCGAAATACTTTTTGAACTAATGATTTGTTTTTTATCATTAGCTCTTCTTCTCGTGATGATTTAGTCCTTGCATGCACACTTTTATCAGCGCAGAAGATTTGAATGGGGGAAGTGCTAATGTTCATGGTCTAAAACAGTAAAAGGCTGTTAAAAATGCTATAGTCAGAACTAAAATCACAATTTAACTTTAAAAAACTGAAACACTGAAAAAATTTATACATTATAGTTAACAATTTAATAGACCAACAAAGCATGCTAATGAAGTTAAAATGATATTACTATTTTGGATGTTATAATATCATCGATGTTCATATTTTCCTTTCCCGTTTTCAAAATGTCGACCGCACGTTTCAACAAAACTAATCGGGACGACAAACTCAATTCGACCCACTTAGGCATCGGAGGAGATAAGAAGACTGCTATCTACGTCATGGAGCATCTCTCCCCCGAAAATAAGAGCTTGCACGCTGCTGCGCGAACCTAAGCCCGCAAACTGAAATACAAATTTGTATGGGTGCGTGATGGTAGGATATACATGCGCAGAAATGAAAAAACCTCGACCTTTTGAAACGTTTGTCATGATTACGCTATATTTGCTATATTTGTACTAAAAGGCACTTTTACTTGTTACTATCAAAATGGGGTCTGAGAACAAAAACTATTGAACTATTTAATATTGTAGTTTGTTGTAATTTTGACATTATTGTTTTTACAGAGACATGGTTGAATGGCACAATATTTGATAATGAATTATTTGATGACTGTTACACGGTCTACAGACGTGACCGCGAAAACAGTGGGTTTCATGGTGAAAAAATGGGAGGTGGTGTTCTCATTGCCATCTCTAAACGCTTTAAATCGTGCCGTTTGTGTGCGCAGAAGTCAGATTGTGAAGATTTATGGGTTAAAGTGGAAATATAGGATAGCTTTAATAAAGACAGACAGCTGTACATCTGTGGCGTATATATTTCTCCTCCAGTAAAAATGCATATACTTAAGCATTTTATTAGCAATGCCAATCGCATATTAGAAAACTACAGTGGAAACACATATATACTTATGTATTATACTTGGTGATTTCAATTTGAGTAGCTTATGTTGGACTAAGACTGTCAGTCACACACTCAAACCTGTAACATCCTATAGTCTACTCAATAACATGCTTGTTGATTTCATGTCTCTTAATAATCTAGTTCAGCACAATTCCTGTTTTAACAATAAAGACAAACTGTTGGATGTGATATTGAGTACATTGGATATCACACGCCTTTACGTAAGTACCGACCCATTATCGGTGATTGACTCGTTACATCCTCCTATCGAATTCTGTATGGGACTTAAATGTGACAATTATCTCCTAACCAAACACGAACCCAAATTTATGTTTTATAAAGCAGATTATATTAAAATTGTAAATGAATTAAATAGTATATCCTGGGAAGACGAATTTTTGCGTTATGAAAACGTAGATGACATGGTAGCACATTTCTATAAGGTACTTCAATCCATCATAGTTAAACATGTACCCAAGTCCAAACCTCGTAATAAGAAATACCCTATATGGTTTTCAAACACGTTAATTAAGGTAATCAAGGAAAAATATAAATACAGATATAAACACCGTAAGTTTAACAACCCTCGGGATTTACTGACCTTTGAACTACTTAGAAATAGATGTACGAAATTACTTAGCCAGAATTATAAAACTTATTTCCTACGATTAGAGACATCTTTGAAATCAAATCCTAAGCTACTATGGAGTTTCATTAAGCACAAAAGAGGCAGTAGTAGTACCTACCCATTCCAAATGTTTTCTGGAACTACTCTTGCCACTACTGGCCCGGATATCTGTGAAATCTTTGCTTCACAGTTCTCTTCAGTCTACAATATTGATAAACTATCCACTTCAGATGAGCACTATGCAGATAAATTCCCCGCCTCTAACTTTATTACTAGTATTTCAGTGACTAAAGACCAAGTATTTAGGGTCTTAAAGAGACTTGACTTCACTAAAGGCGCTGACTCAGATGAAATACCATCTATCTTTGCTGTAAGATGTGCTGGTGCTCTAGCTTTACCTCTGTCCTTGATAATTAATAAATCTCTTTGTTCTGGAACTTTTCCCAGCGCTTGGAAAACTTCTCTTGTTATACCGTTACAAAAAGGAGGTGATATAAACTCAGTGAAAAACTATAGGCCAATATCAATTATTACGGTGTTTGCTAGTCTTTGAAAAACTACTGTGCCCTATAATGTCTTGGCATCTAAGACACTTAACTGCGCCGGAACAGCACGGTTTTATGAAAGCCCGCTCTACCACGACTAATCTGATATCCTTCGTTGAAGGCCTGGCCGAAGTTGTTGATCATGCGCAGTCTTTCGATGTCATATACACTGATTTTAGTAAGGCTTCTGATAAAGTCAGTCACGATATGTTATTGCACAAATTATCATGTGTCGGTATAAGCGGTAATCTTTTACGTTGGTTCAAATCTTACCTAACGAATAGACTGTCTATGGTGGTAGCTGGGGGTTTCAAATATGGCTTTTTACTGCCTTTTCCAGAGTTCCTCAAGGATCCCATCTGGGTCCCATGCTGTTCAACGTTTTTATTAATGATATCGGTAAGTGTTTCCAAAATTCTAAGTTTTACATGTTCGCCGATGATTTGAAGTTTTTTAAATCAGTAAATTCATTAGAAGATGTATTGTTGCTTCAAAATGACTTGGACAATCTAGTATTATGGTGCAAATCTAATGGTATGAGCTTGAATATTGACAAATGCCACATGGTACGCTTCACTAGAAAAAAGCTCTCAGTGACTAGATATTATTGTATTGACGATGTACCTTTAAAAGAGGTTGATAATATTAGAGATTTGGGTGTAATTTTCGATACGAAATTGCGATTTAATTTACATATAGATAGCATTACTAAAAAAGCCTTCAAGACCTTGGGGTTTGTCTTACGTACCTGTAAGGAGTTTAAAAATCCGAGCATATACGTCACTTGTGCGTAGTAGCTTGGAATACTGCAGCGTGGTGTGAAACCCGCACTATGACGTATACAAAAAGCGTATAGAAGGTTTGACTTACAGTTGTAATTTAGCAAAACTCTCGCCTAGCTATAATGATCGTTTGAAATACTTTCATATGAAACCTCTCGTTGAGCGCAGAGCGATGTCGGACATCTTGTTCCTCTACAAAATGATAAATGGTTACATCGACGCTCCAGACGTTATATCCCATATTAATTTTTCTATTCCCAGAAGATCGCCCAGGTATAAGAAATACACTCCATTCGTCACAAAGTTAGCACGGTCGCATTTAGGCTATTATGCTCCTCTAAATAGATTAATGAGGAGTTACAACGAGATATATAACAAAGATATTGGTAATACCGGGAGTGAACAAATTATATTCATGCCTATATCACACCTCCGCTGCGAAACAACAACTGCGAAACCGCTGCGTCACTTTCGCTGTGCAAAAGTACTTCACTTACGCGAAACTATATTAGCGAAACCTAAAACTAGAACAGTTGAGAAATAACAATCGAAAGAAAATGTCGTCGCTTTCGGAGTCAGAGGAGGAACTAATCTTACTGTGGTCAACTACTTTAAAAAGGCGTCGTACCTGGGTGCATGATATCAATAAAAAAAGAAAGAAGTTCGGAGAAAATATATTATGTAAAGAGTTACAGTCACATGAAGACCGTTTTTATTCTTACTTCAGAATGACACCAGACAGTTTTGAAGAGTTACATAAACTTATAAAACCATGTATTACTAAACAAGATACAAGGTTTAGAGATGCTATTTCTAGCAAAGAAAGACTGGGATTAACTTTGAGGTAAAGTAAAAGTAAAGTAAAGTAAAATATACTTTATTGTACACCAAGGAACATATTACAAAATTTATATATTTAAATGGACATTGGTACAACTGGCGGCCTTATCGCTAAAACAGCGATCTCTTCCAGGCAACCTTAGGGCAGAGGATACTATTTTTAAAAGATAGCGGAAGGAGTGTACAGAATATAATATAGAAAGATAAAGAAAGAAGAAAGAAAAAGTGAATGACGACAGGTAGTAACTTAAGGGTTTTAATTTATTTTAAATATAGGAAGAGATTTAGATTCTTTGTTAAAAACTCTGACAGAGTAATGCCGCTGCCTTTTAATCCAGTTTTAGAGAACTAAACCTTGTCATGCATTACAGTGTCTGTAAACTTCACCAATATTAGCCTGGGTTTCTTGCCAGAAGGACGTCCCATGCGATGAGAAGTTTTAATGCAAGCTGCAGAAAAGGCAGACACACCAAGATGTTCACCCACAATGTTACAGACCTGCGCAGCAGTATCTTCTGTTTTCTGCTTGCTGACTCCATGGAACAATAGCATTTTACGCCTTCTACGCATCTCCTGACGATCAAGCTCAGTGTTAATGAATTCAACCTGTCTCTGTAGGTTCAGAGCACAAAGCTTCTGAAACTGTTGAACTCCGTTCCCAGGGTTGTGTTAGATGTTGGTGTACTTTCAAGGCCCTGTTGAAACTCATTCATTTTCTGCTGGAACATTTCTGCCAAAGCATTGAGTGATTCTTTAACTGAGTCCATAGTGATGTGTATTGATAGTGCAAATAAACCAAAAAATAAGTTTATGAAGTGATGTTAATTTTAGAGACTTTAAC